ATCAAACAGTCTCATACAGTCAATACAAACTATAGCAAAATATTATACTACAATCATACTGATGGTATGTCCAATTTCATCTAGGATTGTGAACCTATAATCATATTATACAAGGATCCGATAATATATATATTATATATAATGCAAACATTTGTCCATATAGATTTTCAATAAAATGGAAAGAACAAATTTCTATTAATTAATAAAATGAGTTTTACTACAAAAAACGTAAGTTTTTAGTATACTACTCTATCACTATGTTTGTTAGTCTTCACTAGAGCAATCTCTGAACATTTAGGGATAAAATCAGGAAAGGCTAAATGCGAGGGTAGTGGAGACCGCCCTCTGGGTCGCCTCAGCGGTCCTGAGGTTGCTTGAGCAGTCCTTACTCTTTTGCTATGATTTGAATTTTTTTTTTCATTCCAGCAGCCACCGCTCTCCCTCTACTCGAGCAGTCATTCGAGAATTTGTATTTTCTTGGTCCCTAAGACAAACCCTATTTTGAGCTTATAAATAGAGGGAGTCTTCAAAATTTAAGACATCTCTTATAATCTTTCATGTGAGCTTGTTCCTTGCCCCAAACCTTGAGAGATCATTGAACAAACCTAGATCCCTAAATCCAAAGGTGAAGTTATCCATAACGTTGAAGAGGAAGTTTTGGTAGAGATATCTATTAAAGGAAAGGAGCATTTAATCATGGTTTTGACTGAGGTATAAGACTTGAGTATTTGCAGATTGACATTGGGATAGTAGATTAGATTTTGGTGAACCACGAGTGGTTTCCCTTGATTTTTCTCAAGGAGGGTTTCTACATCAACAAATCACTTTTGTTCTTTATTGTTATATTGTGTTACAAATCGCTTATTTTCTACACGAACAAGTCGAAAACCTCAAGGGGTAGCTCAAAGGTAGTAAGGACGAGTTGTAAACCTAAACGTTCTAAGTTCCAATCTTAGCAACCCCTTGCGACCAAGCCATAAGGGATTTATCCCTCTTGAATATCTTAGTCTCAACGTGGATGACCTAAATTACATTAGACTGTGCAGAGGATTAGTCAAAGTGCGCGTAAGCTAATCCTGACACCCCTAACCATTGAACCAAAAAAAAATTGTATACATTTGTTATTTGTAGTACACATGAGCACTGTATGTTTGTTGATGTTTAATAGTGATTTTATTGCCTCAGTTGAGATTTTCATGAGATATTTGATGAGTGTAGAATAGTGCATAATATGCATCTCTATTGCACCCATTTTAACTTGTTTTCATGGTGGAAATTGGGGAAAATGGTTCTAAATTGATAATTAACGAGGAGTTGTTTGATTGTAGGTAATGGGCTAGTAAGGGCATGCATAAAGCACCCCCATCAAGTGCTTAAGGTCAATGGGGAAGAAGGAACCACTTGATGGATGGCTCGGGACCTCAAGGAACTAAGAAAATTCCAAGACAGGACAACATCTACTGGTGGAAGTCATTCAAGACCTACCAATAAAAGACTCAAGACCTACCGGTGAAAAAGAAAACTGGAAAACTTCTACCTCTGCCATGCAAGCACCTACCGATAGAAAAGCTTACTGAAAAATACCTACCAGTAGGTTTCCCACGACCTACCGATAGGTTTTTCCCAGAAATGCCAGACACTTCTTCACATGACTCCACCAACTTTGGGGGCCCACCTTTTTTCCTCTAAAACATGCCATGACATCTTTAACACCCCATGATGAGCTCCTAACCCCAAAACTTTAGATTGCAAGCATGAGCGAGGGAAGAGGAGTGAGAGAAAGGGAGTGGTTGGAACGGCATGGGAGGTCCATGCCTTAACTGATTTTGCTTCTTGGAGTGGACAACCTCTCTCCATTCATTCCAAGTCAGTCACTCATGCTTAGGAGAGAAGGCATGGACGAAAATAAGGAGGTGGCTACACAAAATTTCAGTTTACAAGACTTTTAGAGAGAGAAACTCTAAGGTAGAAGATGAAGTTTTAGAGAGAGAAGTTGGGTTTTTATATTTTCCTTCACCATTTTCATTGTAGTAAGCTCCATTTAACTTGTAATGTTTTCCTTTTGCACTCTAATCTCTTTTATTCAAGTTATAATCAAGTTTAGCTAAGTGTCATTGTATTTCATTTTTACATTTGGGTATTTTCTCTACAAACTTTGCATTTTGAGTATGAATGCCATTTCTTTTGTAGCTAAAAATTTCTTCTACATTTATACAAGTCTAAGTCTAAGTTTGATTTCATCACAATGTTTCTCTACTCCATGTTTGTTCTTTCTTTTACCATGCATAGCTAAACTTTTAGTTGGCTAATCCAAGAGAAATCGACTCTCTTCCATTCTTCCTTGTAGTGTAAAGTGTTTGGTTTGACTAAGTTGAGTGCGGACATGATTGTTGGCTCTTGATACACTGTAGACTTGTCACGGGCTATACTTTTGCCCAACACAACTACATTAGTCCCTCACTTTCTACAAATCAATCAAACACCAAGACACCATTGGTTGAACGAAATGAGTCGATTTTGTATTCCCATTGGAATGACCTCTATGGATCAGCCAACCTTGCTTTCTTGCATATTTTTGTTAACTCACAACTCACCAAACTTCAATTCACAAGATTTTTCAATTTTCACTTTTTCACAAATCACTCTTCAAAAATATTCGACCTCGCCTTCCCTGAGGAGACAACCTTGGAATATTCATTCCAAGTAAAACACAACATCGCAAGACTTTCTCTACTCTTTGGGAGCAATTTTGCACACAAACACGTTTTTGTTCATCCACACATATAGTTTTTATACTTCTTGCATTGAACTCGAGGGAGAGTGACATTCACCAATCTCTATAAGCCATATACACATAATTTGGGTTTGAGTTGGACATCGGGGAAAACAATCAAGCAAGATTGAGTATTGAGCATTAAAATCAACAAATCATTAGAATCATTCTTCATGGCTAATTGGGTTGTTCTTTTTTAAAGGGGTTCTCATACTTAATTGCTTAATTAATTTGAGAAAGAGATAATTGCGATAGACATAGGTTAAAATTGGTGGTTGTCCAAGCAAAATTTTAACTAAGCCATTCACCCTATCCTCTAGGTAGTGTCTAGCATACCCCCGTATTTAATCGTGAAGATGATCCACAGTATCTCTTCCCCAACAATTGGCATCAGAACTTGATTATCCTGAGGATAGCATTAGACACATTGTAGGTATATCTATTTTTGCTTACATATCTAGTTTTTTGTGCTTTTGATATCTATTGTGACGACAAGTTAGTTTCAAATGGATTCTAAATAAAAAAGGTTCAATTGCATGACCACCTCTCTTTGATAACACAAATTATGCATAGTGAAAAGCTCAGATGAGAGCATTTCTAAAATCAATTGACAAGAGAATTTAGTTTTATATATAAGAGGGATGGACCCCTCCTACGACCACCACTCCAGTTGAAGGTGTTGAAACAATTGTTGAACAAAAATCCTTGAAGATGTAGACTAATGCCGAGTGCGAATTAGCGGGATGGGACTTAAAAGGCTTGAATGTGATATTCAATGTCATGACACCTAATGAGTTCTGGAGGATAACTAATTGTGAAATCTCCAAGGAAGTATGAGACATCTTACAAGTTTCCCACAAAGGGACTTTATTGGTGAAGATGTCTCATCTCCAATGTTAAACCTCATAATTTAAGTTGTTGAGGATGCAAGTGGAAGAAACATTTAGCAAAGTTCATGCTAGATTGTGTGATATTGTCAATTCTTCTTTTTGCATTAGGAAACCAGATTGATGGCGCTGCCAGTAAATAGAAAATCATGAGATGAATCTACTAACACCCAAGAAAGTGAAGGATATATAATCGAGCTCAAGAGAAGAATGAGATAAATCCGAGTCACCTCGATTAGGAGAAAAAGACCTAGTCTTTCTTGCACAAAAATTCAAAACATATTTCAAGGCTAGTGGTGTCGAGTCCTAGAGGTCGAAAGGAAAGTTAAGTAGGCTGGGGAAGAAGAGAAAACTACAAGAAAGAATTTGAAGAAGCCTTGGGAACTACCAATAAATTAAGCCAATGAAGCTACCATATAAAGAATAAGAGAGAGACTTTCTCCCCTATGCTAGTCACCTAGCATCACTACAAGATGGAAGGGGCCAGTTTCAGTAAGAAATCCCCCCACCCCCCGGTGTGTCATCTCACTTCCAACGAGAAGAGAGCTACCAAGTAATGCATTTCTTCATAAAGTCTGGAAGTCTCCCCTAGCTTTCTTTCTTGGTTCCCTTTCCCTTGTTGTCTATGGAGCAAGTTTGTTGATGGCAATAAGCCTCACCATGCTAGTTAGCTAAGTGAGTTTGTTTTCCCTTACCTCCATGACTACCTTTAGGAAGACATGTTCCCAGGGCAATCCAATCCTAAGTTCTCCTATAGTCAACATCCCATGACTTCCTCATTCTTAAACCTACCTATTATCAATATCCAGACAATTATTAAGATTCTTCTTTTTATCAATTCTATATGCAAAACAAAATCGTCTAGCTATAGTTCTCATAATTAGACTTGAATATGTTCTTTTTAGTGAATTCCCCATTTAAGAATTTTATTTGGCTTTCTGCATGTGCCTCTCTGTAGAGAAGAAGGCTTAGATAGTCCACCCAGATGAGCTTGTCTTCATTCTTTTTGATGGCCTCGCGTCGAGGGGGATACAATTGACTGTCTTAAATCAATACGATAGGAATGGAAGTCCCAACTTTACATTGTGCACAACTACTACCTTTCTTGAGCCCATTTCTTCATAATCAGCCAAGATAGTGACTAGCTGGTCATTGATAACGAACTTTACCCTGTGGTGCAGCATAGATGGGCCTTATGGGGAAGAGCCCTACTGAATAGAGCCTCGTTGTCACTATCGATCTCATAATTTTCTCTGGTATGGGCAAGGGACCATATGTGAATGAATCCCTTGAATTTCTTCCTCTTCTCCTCCCCTACTCTGGTCTCTTTTTTTGTATTGATGTTTGTTGTGGACATGAGGTCAAAAGGAGCTTTGGGTAAGTCTTTTGAAAAGCTTTTCTAAGGCTCTAAATCTCCTAAGGAGGGAAAAGAGAAGCTATTGACAAAAGGTTGAGAAGAAAAGGCAAGGGATCCAATGCTACGAGTGTCAAGGTTTTGGATACATGGCTATGGAATGTCCTAGTACAAAAAGGAAGGGCATACCTAAAGAAAAGAGAAGAACAATGAAGGCTAAGTGGAATGTCACTAGTAGTAAGTCTACATCGAATGAGGAAACAATGAAGGCTAAGTGGAATGTCACTAGTAGTGAGTCTACATCGAATGAGGGGTCTTCTTCTAAAGAAGATGAGAATTTTACGAATTTTTTTGGTTCACATTACTCTCCCCCTAGATAAACTTCAAGTGGTGAAATTGAAGGAGAAAAATTCCCAAGTCCTACCAAGGAGGTGGATGACTTGAAAGTAGAGGTCTCTACAAGTAAAGATGAGACCGAGAACATTGAGAACCAACAAGATGAATATAATCAATTATATGAAGAGTGCCTCAAACAAAATAAAATGATGTTTTCATTGAGTATAAGGCTCAAAATGAGTGAAGATGATAAGAAAGCAGTCCATGTGGACTTGGTGAAGTCCAAAGCTCATATTTGTGGGCTTGAGGAAGCGAAGAAGTCCTTGAAGGACAAATTGAACCTTCTTGAAAGTGACTGTCATGGGCTTGTAAAGTCAAAGAAGAGTCTTGAGTTTAAATGAATAAAACTTGATAGAGACCTTCAAGAATGAAAAGCACTCACCAAGAGACTTTCCCTAGGTTCAGAAAAATTGAACAAAATATTATCTATAAGGAAGAGTGTTGGTAACAAAAGCTGTCTAGGCTACACCAATGAACACACCACCTCCACATCTTCCAAGATCGAGTTTGTGAAGGGTAATCCCAACCAATCACCCCCATGTTTGTGTGAACATAATTCCTCAAAAGACTAAAAATGGTTAGGGAAAGAATTTAAAGAAGAAAGTTAATAAAAAAAACTCAAACCAACCAATTTGTATATTATACTTGTGGAGAGCACATTCACTATAGCACACATTGCATGCACAATATGGAAGTATTGACTAAGAAGGTCATACTCTTAGCTAACCAATCCAAGGCCTTGCACACTCAAGTCATGAATTTGTCGACGCTTATGGATAGGTCACATGAGCCCAAGCATAGGAATGATTCACCATTTCAAGGCTCACAAGCTAGAGTGCACAAAGATCATTCTACTCCCCATGTCAAAATTGGTTAAGAGAATAGAGTAAGTCTTACATCCATTCCCCAACAAAACCCGAGAAGTTGGAAGGAAAAGCAAGTTTAGGTGAGTCTAAAGGATTTAGAAAGGCTTCACCGCCTAAGTGTGAAGGTGAATGGCATGTGTGTACTTGGTTTTAAATCTTTCAAAGGTAAAAACTATTCAAGTACACTAGGATGAAAGAGAATTTGGCTAATGAATCATGCAATTGGATTTATGACACTAAGTTCTTTATCTCCTACTATGACTCATAGTCATGCACATTTCAACTTTGACTTAAGGATGAAACAATTTCAATGTAAATTAAAGTGTGAATTACCATGACCATGAACAATAGAAAAATTAACCAAATAAAATATTTTTTCATTTTTCATTTTCAATGTTTTTAAATTTTTTAAGATGAATATATACAAGCAAAATGTGCAAAAAGATGCAATCAAAACAAAGCAATGCAAAAATAAGTCAATTACCATAAATCCTAAAATGAATGTCAAATTTGACATCAAAACTCTTTTTGAATTTTTCTATTTTTCTATTTTTTTTTTGTTTTTGGATTTTCAAATTTCTAATGTTTTTATATTTTCATATAGAAAAAAAATGAAAAAATTGCAAAAACAAAACAACAAGGAAAAATATATGCAATGAACACTTAATCCTTCATGCATGATGTCTCAATAATGCTCCTAGAACTAAGTAACTCTAACACTCACTTAAGCGCACAAACACCTATGAATTTCCTAAGACTCTGAAATCTAGGGGCATCCAAAGGTTTTGTGAGAAGATCGGCTAATTGATCTTGAGTTTGAACATATTCTAATGATATCACCTTGTTCTCAACAAGCTCGTGAATGAAGTGGTGACGTATGTCAATATGCTTTATCCTAGAGTGCTGAACGGGATTCTTAAAAATGTTTATGGCACTCGAATTGTCACAATACACATTCAATGTATCATAAGAGATCCCGTAATCAAACAACATTTGCTTTAACCAAAGCAATTGTGTGCAACAAATCCCTACTACACTATTCTCAGCCTCAGCAGTAGAAAGTGATATGAAAAATTTTTTCTTGCTTTGCCAAGATACCAAGTTGTTCTCAATGTAAACACACCCACCAGAAGTGTTCTTATGATCACCAATATTCTTTGTCCAATCAGAATTAAAATAGCCAGCAATCTCAACATTAGTCTCAAAGGTATACCAAATACCATACCCTAAAGTGTCACTCACATATCGAAGTGATAGATCATAATTGAGTTTCTTATAGCTTAAATTGCTTACAATCACATGAATTGAAGATCTAATCAGGAATTGAAGTGAGTAATTGGTGAGTAATGTTTAGGTTGGTTAATGGTACACCACTTGGAAGAGAATTTAGAAATGAATTAATGTGGGCATGAAAACATAGTTAAATATGCATAATTAAGATAAAATGCATATGTAAGAGATATTTATGTGTAAATATTATGATGTGTGGTAGGAATGGAGGTATTGACTCCCACGTCTAGCAAAGCTTAAAGTCTTTTTGGAGACAAGGTTTATATTACAGCTGGACTTGAGGTGGATTTATTTTCTATTTATGCTTGAGATTATTATGAACATGCTTTAAATGCTATTGGGTGTGTGATATTATGAATAATTACTTACGGTTAGTACTATGGATGAGTTATACCACATCATTGGAAAAAGCAAGAGCATGATTGATTTTATTAGTTTATAAACATGTGAGTAAAAGTGTTTTAAACATTAAATGATTATATCATATAATCAATACTAATTGAGATAGCCTTAAAGGCTAATGTTACTAGTTGTTAAAAATTGACTGTAAGAATTATTATTTGATGATGACAATATTCAGTAGTGTTCGGTGTTGTGGTTATGTTAAGTGGCTTTATTTGGAAAATATAGCCTTAGAGGTAAATGTATGACCTGGTGGCAAATATTGACTAAATCATTGTTAGATAGCCTATGCGGTGAATGTTGTTTGCGCGACAAATATTACCTATGTGGCAAGTGTAGCCTGTGTAGTGGATATAGCTTGAGTTGCTGGAATTGTATACTCCTATTTGGAGGTTATGGTGATTGATGTATTATGAAATGACTGCTAGATAATTATGAGAACTTATATGTATTGACTTATCAAATTGTTCAATTATTTTGGATAAGTTGATTATAGAAGTATGTGATATTCATTATCAATGTTATCTAGTTATTTATTCCATACACTCATTGAGCGTGTGTGCTCACCCCCCCCCCCACCCCTTAGTTTGTATTTTCAGGTAGACTAGGAGGAAGGAATGTCCACTACTGTGTCTAGGCAGTAAAACAGGAAACTAGATTTCTATGTCTTGTTGAGTCATTATGAATAATTATTGAGTCTTATAAATTGAGAAAAATAAACCTTATATATAACATATGTATAGGGTATAGGTGTTAGTCCAAGGTTACCAGAATTCATCCAAGAGCATACGAACCATGATCTGGGTCACAAGATCCCAAATGGGGTGTGTTCGCGACCCAAAATGTGAAAAGTAGTAACCCCAAATTCCAAACCCTAACCTGAACTGAACCTGACCCCATATAGTTCCAAAGACATAGAAATTTTCAAAAAATTGAATGAATGTGAATGAAGAAAGAAAAAACTAACAAATAAACACTTATATTCATTACAACCCAAATCAAATGAAGTTGCATACCCAAATTTGTCAAATAACAAGCTTCAAAGATGGATTGTTTTCCTCCTCTCTCCCCTTGATTGATGATCACTTTTTACTTTGGATCTTGAAGCACCTCCCTGGATCTCATGTAGGTTGTGAGTGCTGAAGAGCTGAAGCATCAATGCACTGCATCTCGAATTTGTTTGGCACAAACAAAAGAGAAGAGACAAAAGTTTTTGAATTTGGGTAAAGCGGTAGTGCACATGGAACCTCAGTGGAAGAATATAAAGGGGTTTTTGCACTTTGCACCCCAAAAGATATCTTAATTTCCACTTTCTACCTTAAAAGATTATTTTTTTCACATTACACCGTAAATGTTATAAATTGGTTTCAATGTGGGCCAATTTTTAATGGAATTTAAAACAAATGTTAGTCCGAGGGCCACATTAGAACTAATTAATGACATTCAGAGTGCAATGTGAGAAAAATAATCTTTCAAGGTACAAATTGAGGATTGAGACATCTTTCAGCTACAAAGTGCAAAAATCCCAAATATTAAAAGCGCCCCATAAATTTTGTGTCTTTTGGCAACCGGTATATTAGAGGGACCGAGAATAATGTGTTAAAAATTACTATGATAGCCTTTTTGTAAGGGTGACATCAATTTAAGTTATATACCAATCTCGTAATTAAGTCTAAATTTTTACCCTTTGTATACATTGCAGAATATGTATCTAATATAAAATATTATATTGTTATAGAAAATTCCAAATAAGTATACAACCTAAAATGTTGTACAGAAGCTGATATTGGAGTAGACATTTACTGCAAGTAGCAGACTTGTACTACAACTAGCAGACGATTCCTAATTGTTATAATAGTGTGTAATATAAAATATTATATGCCTATTGATTCAACCTATTTCGTGATTTGATTAATATTATACACTCAAGTATAAGTGGTCGAATTGTAGTTTTCTCGGTTTAAGTCCAAGTATCGATCCCACGAAGTGTTTTAATAATTTAGGAAATAAAATAAAAATAGGGAAGCGGTTGTTTAAACTAAGATAGCTTGTGATGTAAGCTTAGATTGATAACTAGTCTAATTAAACATATGTTTGCAGATAGATTGTGTAAAGATAGTAATGTAAACAGTATCCTTCAATTTCAGGATCTCATATGCTTTATATTGGTCAAATATTGGAAATGCTACCTTACAACAATTAACTTCCATGTTACTGGCAAGTCAACCAGTAAGTCTGATGTATATAAGATATTCGCTCATTCTTAGGTAATGTAGGATTCTATAGAAGGATCATAAAAAATTTTAGTTCAATATTTAACCTATATGTAATCTTTTATGTCAGGATGTTTTATTTGAATGGAATGATGTATGTCAATTAGCATTTGACAAATTAAAAAACATGTTTATTTCTGCACCTATTATACAACCTCCTGGCTGGTCTTTGCCTTTGAATTAATGTGTGATGTAAGTGATTATGCAGTAGGAGCTGTATTAGGTAAAAGAAAAGATAAAAACACATGTTATTTATTATGCAAGCAAAATCTTAAATGATGCACAAATGAATTATTCAACCACATGATTAACCCTAATTAATATATAAAAGACTCCTTAAATAAGTCAAAGTGGTAAGATAAAATAACTAAAAACTATCAATTAGGGTCAATTAGGGTTTGTACAGAAATTAGGGTTTTATGTTTGTTATGTATAAACTTTTTAGGGTTTGATGCGGAATTACCAAAAAATACAAGAAATAATATGTCAAAGTTTAAAAGAGCAAGGGAC